GGAAACGTCAAAGCTTTCGCGCGAGAGGGGGAAACTGAATTCAGATAAATAGGGCTTAATAAGAGTCGAAAACAGTGCAACGAATCGTCTTCTTTCTATAATAATTTAAATCAAACGTCTAAGCTTTTCGCGCTTCGCGCGGGAAGGGGGAAACTGAATTCAGACAAGGATTAAATGTCGAAAACAGTACACCCAATCGTCTGCTTTCTCTAATAATTTAAGGAAACGTCGAGGCTTCCGCGCTTCGCGCGAGAGGGGGGGGGGGGGGAACTGAATTCAGATAAATAGGGCTTATTAAGAGTCGAAAACGGTGCAACGAATTGTCTTCTTTCTATAATAATTAAATCAAACGTCTAAGCTTTTCGCGCTTCGCGCGGGAAGGGAAAAACTGAATTCAGACGAGAATTAAGAGTCGAGAACAGTACACCCAATCGTCTGCTTTCTCTAATAATTTAAGGAAACGTTGAGGCTTCCGCGCTTCGCGCGAGAGGGGGAAACTGAATTCAGATAAATAGGGCTTATTAAGAGTCGAAAACGGTGCAACGAATTGTCTTCTTTCTATAATAATTAAATCAAACGTCTAAGCTTTTCGCGCTTCGCGCGGGAAGGGAAAAACTGAATTCAGACGAGAATTAAGAGTCGAGAACAGTACACCCAATCGTCTTCTTTCTATAATAATTAAATCAAACGTCTAAGCTTTTCGCGCTTCGCGCGGGGAAGGGGAAACTGAATTCAAACGAGAATTAAGAGTCGAGAACAGTACACCCAATTGTCTAATTTATCTAATAATTTAATGAAATGTCAAAGCTTCGACGCTTCGCGCGGGAGAGAGAGGGAAAAACTGAATTCATACAAGGATTAAGAGTCGAGCACGGTTCAACGAATTGTCTACTTTCTCTAATAATGTAATGAAACGCCAAAACTTCAGCACGGGAGGGGTGGGGGGCCGGGGACGGGGAACTGAATTCAGACAAGGATTAACAGTCGGGAACGGTACAGCAAATCGTCTTCTTTTTATAATAATTTGATGAAACGCCAAAGCTTTCGCGCTTCGCGCGGGAGGGGGGGGGGGGGAGGAAGTCATCCAGACAAGGGTTAACAGTCGAGAACGGTACAGTAAATCGTCTTATTTTCCTAATAATTTAAGGAAACGTCTAAGCTTCCGCGCTTCGCGCGGTAGGCCTATCACCCACCCCCCCTAATAAGCGCGCTTCGCGCGCTCTTTGAGTGATTCGCCTGCTCACTACCGCCCTTCCCTAAAATGAGATCCTAGCTCCGCGCCTGCATTAAAATATATAGCTATGATGCTGACTAAGTTGACGAAATAACTCGTATATTTATGTCGTCGAGGAAAATGACGATTTGCGCATACGCAAAGGAAAAACAATTTAGCCTTCGGCCCCGGGTACATAGGGTTAAATTTGTAAATATTGGGGCATTTAATTTTGTCGGTAATTGAGGGCCTAGTTTTGTCGGTAATCGTTGGCCTTTTCACCCCCGCCCCCCCCCCCCCCCCCCCACTAAAAAAGGTCTAGCGACGCCCCTGATTACATTGTGCAAGAAACGTTATGGAATCGATCAGAAAAGGTTGATAATCTAGCACGAATTGGTGTGTATGCTGCAAGCTCCTGGAATCATCAAAATGATAAGAAATTTGGCCCAGTCACTTGGTTAAGTTAAAAGCACTGTACACAGAAAGATGTATATAGGACTATTACTAACGAACATGTGGCATAAAAATCCGTTCTGATTGTTAGGATGTCAGGCGCGGATCCAGGATTTCTTAGGGGAGGGGGCCCAACTTTTTTTTTTTTTGCTCCCGAAAATTTGAAAATCGCGCCGGCCGAAAAGTCGCTCAGAAAATTTGAAAAACGCGCCGGCCAAAAATTCGCTCAGTGGGGGGGGGGGAATGAGCACATTTTTTTTTTTTTGATCCTCAAAAAAATTTCAATTTGCACCCCCCCCCCCCTTGAGCGCCAGGGGGGGGGGGGCCCAACCCCCACAAATCGTAAAAATCACGTGATTTTACATGATTTTTTTTTCAAGGGGGGGGGGGGCCGGGCCCCCCGGGCCCCCCCCCCTGGATCCGCCACTGTAGGATGTTACGTACATGCCATATTTAGAAGAGCCATGCTTTTCAAGGAACATGTTTTATCTGATGTTCTTCCACACTTGCATAATACAATGATAACGCTCCCAAATTATTTTTCACCTCTTTCCAGAACTCAACCACCTCTTTAAACTCAGCATTTTCACTTTCACGAGGGGTAACTGACCTTCGCACCATGATTGACACATTGACACTCCCTCCCGCCTCTTCTTTTCTTGAGCATCCTCCTCATTTAGACCAACTTTAAAGATTTCTTTCTTTCACCAAATCTTTCAATGAAATCTTTGGTTTTCCGTTTCCTCATATTCCATCCACTTCCAGATCCCACGCTCTTTTCACAGGTTCATCATCTTCCCTTCTCAGCACATTAACCATTCATCTCAATCCACCTTGTCTTTACCAATTCCACCAGGGGGGGGGGGGGGGGGGGGGGGGGGTGTCTCACAAATCTGTTAGTAAAGTTACGCATGACTTTACGAACGACTTGAATATGAAGTGCCAGATAGGATGTCCACAGTTTTTCCTGATGTTTTCACAAAGTGACTATATTTCCAATAACCTCAACTAAATTATGGCAAAAAATATACTTTGTATTAAAAATGTTTTTTTTTATGATAAGAATGTTGATCTACATCAGCACAGTTAAACTTTAGTTGATGCAGTTAAAAATGATTGAGCATCCCATTTGGCTTTTCATATATAAGTCATTCGTATGAAATCATGCGTAACTTTACGAACAGCTTTATGAAACACCCCCCTGGTTTATTTTCTCATGACCCAACCTTAATTTTCATGAGCTCGCTTGTGTTCTTTCTATCGAGCAGTTTCACACCACGCATCTTCAATACCATGGCTCTTTCTATTCTCTTTAAGGTACTTTAATCTACTGTCTTCACATTCCAAGTTTCTGAATCATATACATTCACTTGCTGCTTGCATGTATCATTAAATGAAAGAGCATGCAGCCCCCTAGCCTACATCACCTAAACCAAGTTAAAAGAAGAAAAAACAACTTTAAAATCTTATTGACACTACATACAGAGACATAAAACTCATTGAATACAGAAAATTAATGTTTAAATACAAGAATTTATATACGGCAGACAGAGAAATCTATCTTTCACAATATATGACTTAAACATGAGTAAAGGAATGGGTTACATCAAAATATTGCGTCCCTTGACAAAGTACAATGATTAAACTAATTAGACACCATGATCCAATGAGGTTTTGATCAATATTATCTTTTCATGTATAAAAAAAACACTAGGAAATAGTTAGCTGCATGTGATGAATCCCTTTTAAAAATTCGGCACTACATCTAGTTTCTACATAATATTAAATAAACACTGATAGCTGCATATATTGAATAGCACAATGAAGTGCTTCAATGTGCATTTAAGGCAACCAAATTTACTGGAGTAAACTCTTTCATGTCGCAACGCTATTTTGAATGTACCTCGGTGGAAGAAAGAAATATTATTGAAGGAAAATAGGGAAATGCCACAGAGAAGTTGAATGAGACTGAAACAAGTTTGAAGGGATGCATTGACATTTTTCTCACCCTAGTTTAGGTACCTTTGTCAAGGCAAAATTTGCCCTTGGCATTTTTATCCCTCTGAAATCTTCCATCCATGCTATAAGCACAAATAGAGTAATACATTAAAGGATGGCTGTACTAGTTTGGCCAGGAGGAATTAGACCACACGGCGTGGTCAATGACAGGTGGTTATCTAATCAACTCAGCTCTCGATTAACATAAGAAAAAGAGGATCATGGGGGACCAATGGTCACCGATTAGGCATTGTTTTCTATATAGAGGGAGCAAGTAGGACAGGGGGCCTTTAATACTGGTAAGAAACGCTGTCAGTGCAGAAACATAACAGTTCATGGACTTTGGAATTACATAAATCACATGTCAGTACTTTGACCTAACAATAAAACATCATCTTCAGAATGTTCCATTTAATGTTATTGATCTAAGAAGATAGTTGTTGGCAAAAGCAGATTATTTCTTCTTTAGCTACATCCCGTCTAATAAGGTCCTTCTTTTCTAGTATCCTTTAATTGCTAACCCTGGTACATATAGTGCGTATCAAAAAAAGTGTACCCAACTTTGGTAGCTTCTAATTAAACGGTTATAACATATGTGACCTTGAATCATGGTAAAGGGTAACAATTACTCTGCCTAATGATACCATATTCATAATTGTGCTGTCACAGATAAATGAGTAGTTAGGCTTTTCAAAAAATATTGTCAAAATCGTCTTGTATCAAGTTTGCGCTGAATCAATAGGAATGCGAGTCAAAAGCCATAATATGTTTGTGTTTCTCATTCCAAAAATAATCTTCATTTCCATTTTTGTTTTAAGTTTTAAGAAATAGTAACTACATTGAGTACACAGGATTAAGTTTAATTTCAAATCAATTTAACAAAAAAAATTCTGGGTGTCTTATCTTTTGAGTTGGATACCAATTACCCATCACATCCCCTTTTTAATCAAAACAAAAAGTGAAAGTATATCTGAACGATAAAAAGTGGAGACTAACGATTAAAAGAAATTACTTAGACTGTATCATGAAAGAAAGAAAAATCACATGATTGTGGACAATATAAAATGCTAGAAAACATCAGTACACTGGACAATGTTTGTGTTTCTTGCATGATTTACATAAATTATATCTTCTTGTATTAACTTTTTTTTTAAATGTTTCATTCCTTCCAACTACATGTATGTACACTTGTTAAGAACAGATTACCATTACAGAATAAGAGAGAGAGAGAGAGGAAGAGGGAGAGGGAGAGGAAGAGAGAGAGAGAGAGAAAGAGAGAGAGAGAGGGAGAGAGAGGGAGGAATGAGAGGGGAGGGAGGAAGGGGGAGGAGATGGAGGAAGGGGAGGGGGAGGGAAGGAGGGAGGGAGGGAGGGAGAGAGAGAGAGAAAGAGAGAGAGAAAGAGAGTTCTGAAGATCATTGGCCTATCACGGTGAGATATCATCACCTCTCATCATCATCTACTGAGTCATCTTGTCTCTGGACCTCCTACAAACAAAAAAGAAAGAATTCAAAATAATATTGAGTTTCATAAGTTAAATATGTGTAGTATGTTCCTATTCTTTAAAATTACCTGGTAAGTATTAACAAAATGGTAGGAATTGTCATCATGACGACTGAAAAAAAGATGATAATAATAATAACTAGGATTCACAGTGTTTATAGGGCACCATATTTCTGTTTAAAAACAAAGGTGCAGGCTCCCCTAGTTACATGTAAGTCGGTATGTACACATTTGCTGAAAAGACATGTATACATGCACATTTGCACTACAGGTAAAATGTTACATGTTACCCTTGATTGACTCGACAATTAAATCTGATATCTTCATGATTAATTGGAGTAAATTTGACTGCTACTGCGCAGAAAATTACCTAATGCATTCTGGGAAGGTTAATGATAATAATTTATATGAAGTCCTCTAAATGGATGTTTAAATTTGTTTACAATTTGCTAAAACATATTTAGAGCCGTTTCAATATAAGATTTTTAAACAAAACTGGTCATAGATTTACAAACAGGAATAAAACTTGAATGGTGGTTTGTTCCTCCTCACAAATCTAGTGAGATACTGGAATCAGTACTTATTATACACTTTTCCTTTAATTTATAATGCATCGGTTATAACAACTTCCATGCTTTCTTTTATAATAAATACAGCTACCTATTTTAAAGCCTATCTGTACTAATTTGGCAAGGAGGGATTAGACCTCCCTGCATGGTCACTGACAGGTGGTAATCTCATCAAATCAGCTCTCAAGTAACATAAGTAAAAGGCATCATGGGAGATCAACGGGTAATACTTAGTCATTGTTGGCTGTAAAGAGGGCGCAATTAGCTACAAGTAGTGCAGTGGGGCTTTAAAGAAACACGGTGAAAAGCCATGATCGTATAATATATTGGAGAGTTCCTCAATCAATTCTCACCATTTTCAAGAAGTCAACAAGCTTGTTGGCATCTGTCCCCGATCTTAGATCTAAGAAGTCCGATGGCATGGAGTAAGCTAGATAAGGGCTTGGTTGTACACCGGCCTCCTCCTTGATACATCTCAAGTCACATTCCTCATCCCCATCTCTCATCCTGTACAGCTCAGTCCACGTGAACAGGGAGGAATCAGTCACCTCATTGAACGGGTTGAAATCTACAATTAAAAATTCAGCCTGCAAGAAAATTAATTTTAATGAAGAAAAAAAGTACATAATGATAAGATAAAAATGTAATTATTGCAAACACATCAGCTGCAGCTGTCATCAAATAAGAAATGATCACTTTGCATTAAAATTGAATAATCTTATATACGCAACAAACTGAACAAATAAAAGCATCACATTATTGGTTTAAAGCTGAGATTTTATCAAAGCATTGTAACCATTTTTTACTACGGATACCATATAAAAAGTTACACTAAATACCTACATATTATTATTCTTTTCCATTATTCATTTTTCAAATAAAAAAATTACGAAAGTTCTTACATCATACTATAGCCTGGCACATATCAGAGCATACTATTAACCATACAGAAACATAGAACTGGTTTTCTCTCACAAACAGTTTATCTACATTAAAGGGAAAGTCCACCCCCAAAATAAGTTTGTTTCGATAGAGGCAGAATAATAAGAAAATCAGGTGAGTGAAAGTTTGAGCAAATTCTGAATGAAAATAAGAAAGTTATAAATTATTGAAGTTGTGATCAATCAAATACAAATTGGCAACTCTGTGACTTATTATACGAGCTCTCCTTCATTTGCTTTGTGCATAATATTCCATAAAATCATGTTTTCTTCGTTATTGATGACGGAATATATATTTGTTCGTTGCAGGGGGAGTATAGAAACATATTTGCAATTATTATATTTAGGGTGCATGTATGGTTGAAATTTTTCTTGAGGGAAAATGAAAATTTTAGATTTTTTTAGTACTGAGCAAATGGAAGTTGAGCTCGCATGATACGTCATAGAGTTGCCAATTTGTGTTTGATTGATTTCAACTTCAAAAATCCTAACTTCCTTATTTTTAATCGGAATTTGCTCAAACTTTCACTGACTTGTTTCTCTCATTTTTCTACTCCTATTAAAACTAACTTAATTTCAGGGTGGACTTCCCCTTTAACTGTTGTATAAAGCCTACATGATCCTCCTGCAATCCGGTTTTCGAATCTATGGAAGTTATATATATAAGATGTGAAAATCTAAACAAACATCATATACCTCATTTAGGTTCCAAATAATGATTAGCATACCAACAACTACAATTTTAGTGCATAAGTTTATCTCTTCATATTTCAAATCGGAATAAAAGCCAAATCGATTTCAAATCGGAATTAAAGCCAAATCAATGTCAAATCGGAATAAAAGCCAAATCGATTTCAAATCATAGACAATTGCTGGTTCTGAGCTGTTCATACTGATTAGCTTTTTTCTTCTCCAATAAAGCTTGAAATTCCATGCAATTTAAGTATCATTTACCTTGTGACTATTAAGGTCCTCTGTCATTAAGATTTTATGTTTAAAGGTAAAGTTGAGTTCTGGTCATGCAATTGAAATGGTGTGGAATCGATCAGAAAAAGTTGATCATGTAGCATATAAGTATTGGTGTGTACTGCAAGGTTCTGGAGTCAAAATTATAAGAAATTTGGCCCAGTCAGTAACAAGCACCGTACACAGAAAGTTGTATATGGGACTACAAAAACATGTGGCATAAAAATCATGCCTCATTTATACGCTGTTATTTGTCATATTTAGAATATGAAAGCATTTGAAGAGCCATGCTTTTCAGGTAACATTTTTTTCTCAGTTCTACCACACTTGCATAATAACAATGATAATGCTACCAAATTGCTTTTGACTTCTTCCCATAACTCAACCTTCTCTATGTTCATATCGAATGCTATTGCAAATTCTTCCCAAATTAGATGATAATCAGATCGTATAGTGTGAGGTGCCGGGCTTAAAAAAAAAAGATTAAAAAAAAAAATTGTTCAAAGATGAAATATCGTATTTTAAGGGGTGATATCGTATTATCGTATTTCACTCTTAATATCGTACTAAATATGATTTAGTCGAACTGGTTGGCATCTGTGTTAATATACTGACAAGACTTGACAGTGATTTCTTACCTTGTCTTTGCGGAATACATCTAAGACATCTGTAAAGAAGAAAGATCAAATACAAACATTTTCATCTCCACAAATGAATACTTCTCTAGATCACTTTTTTCTTACTACAGATTTCAGAGTAAAATTTTGAGCCAAAAACGATAGCACCTACTGATCTTTCCTAAAAGTACCGGTATCCAAAGTGCACAAATTATACGTTTCATAGGCCAACCGTTCTTTTTATGCATTTAAGAATAAACATTTGGGTACCTTATAAATCTCATATATCATCATCATTATCATATAAAAATATGTATACCGGTACAAGCTTTCTGAAATATATCTCAAATCATGTTAGTTTAACCCTTTCAGTTTCAGGACAGGATTTATTTTTAGGGCTAAATTGAGCACACATTCTTCTTCAAATTGGCAACAATAAACAATTTCTTTTATCGCTACAATGATAGAATAAAACGCAATGTCTCTTAAAAGTAAACTATATATACACAGGGGAGACTGTTGTAGAAAAGTTTTTTAAATGGCCAGTTTTCATTTAAAAACAATGATTTCTAATCTCTCTATGTATCGCCAATTTATCGATTAACAAATTTATTTTACTTTTTAAAATTCCTAGCCTCAAATGCAATATAGGCATGAAACAAACATGGTTGCAGTGTGTGCAGAAATTTTTGCCCTTCCTACTTGTGCATCTGGTATATTTTTTAGGGCTCTGAATAAACAATTATTGAGCCAAACCCAAGAAAATGTGGAATAATTGTCATGAAAGGAATCATATACTAGTACTTAAACAAAGCTATTCATATTGTGATATCCATGTATTTCAATGTGTTTGAATATGTATGTTAGTTGCAATTATGCTATCAATTTTCTTTATCAGAGAAAATAATCCATTTACCTAAACATTACCTATGCATGTATTCTATTAAAACAAAACATTGCAAATAAAATGGGCCGTTCCCTTAACGACACGGTTCCTAAGTTTCAATCACTGATCTCTCTGAAAACTATTTTATCACATTTCCAATCCTTTATCGATGTCATATCATGTACAGAGACAAGAACTAGAATAAAACTTCTGTTTGTATGGAAACTCTTCATCTTAGAGATGTTTACTCCCTTTCTTATCTTTATTTGATGAATAAGTAATATCAGGATATATTATCTTGGAGATTGAATATACAAGTTAATACAAAGTCAATATTTTGCTAATTTTATCCATCAGACTTACAATGTTGTTCTTTGAATAAGCCAGCTACGTATCTGTCATGGAAGTTGTTAATCTCATATGTGATGTCATCTACTAATGGAGGTACGCAGGGAAAGAAACTTGAACAGTCACGTTGAGAGATTGCTAGATCAGGAAAAATAAAGATAACATGGGACTTCGTGATCATTCAAAACAGTTTACCGGTATCATGCAAATACCAACCAAATGATTGATGCAAATCCTGATATAACTAATCATACATTTATAAAAATTCAGGTTATAATGAGGACTATACGTGACTGGTCATGACAAAGTGAGACAGAAGTCGTTTGGCTAGAACTTGAAAAAATAGTGAAAAAAATAAAGATAACCGTCAAATTTGAACAAAAAAAAATATTTTCATATTCTTTGGATGTTCAATTTTTCATGAATGTCTGTAAAAACATTGAGTAATAAGGATTACGGGAAAGGGTAAAAAACAAAGTTTTTTTTGTGAGTGTTTTTTGGTCAATTCTTGTGGACATTTAAAAGAGATCCCGCGCTCAAGAAATCTATTTGCTAAGCCCAGACCCCTAGCGACGTGGCGGTTCACAGTCACATGATCTCTGTAAAGAAATCTTTCAGTTTATATGTCAGGTGTAATGCTTATTCTTTAAACAGCAGCAAATTCTTTTAAAGCTTTTAAAGGATAAGATGGGAACTGTGTCAGGATTACAAGTGCATGATTTAGAAGGAGAGAAGAAAAATATCAATAATCGGCAGGTCTCAAATCTTAGTCTTTAAAACTCTATAGCTCTTTTAAAGCCTGTCTGTACTAGTTTGGCCAGGGGAGATTACACCTTCCTGCAAGGTCACTGACAGGTGGTTATCTCATCAAATCAGCTATCAATTAACATAGGAAAAAGGGGATCATGGGGGACCAACAGGCACCGATTAGCCATTGTTTGCTTTATAGAGGGCGCAAGTACATGTAGCTATAAGTAGTGCAGTGGGGCTTAAAATGCGAAAAGAAAAGAAAAAAAACAGGAACTGTGTCAAGAATACAAGTGAGAGAACAAAAATTTCAATAATAGCCTGTTCGGGCATTTTTATTCTTTAAAAAGCAGCAAATTCTATACCTCTTTTAAATAAGTGTCTATCCCGCCCTTAAAAGTCTTCCCCCCCCCCTTGTTTAATAAAAACAAGGGTGGGATTAACAAAGATGGAAAAGAGATAATCGTCAAACAAAAGATTGATTTATAAATGATTCTGTTTTTATTTCATCTTGCTGTTTAAATCAAAACAAAATATAAAACAAAGCTTGCTTTTAAAAGAGAGAAAAGGGACTGTGTCGAGATTACAAGTACTTGATTTTTAAGAAGGAGAGAACAAAAACTTATCTGTGTTTTCATTCTTGATCTTTAAAAAGCGGGAAATTCTATAGCTATTTTAAAGGGAATTGGTAACATTGTTCAGATGAGAGAAAATGGTGCTAAGGTAGTGACTTTAATGCTAAGTGGTTCTCCTAATGTTTGTATAAAATGGAATGCACATGGAATAAGAACTGTCAGTCATAAAAGTGAAATCTATCCCTGAATGGTGTCAAATGATTGAGTGTCCTAAAAATGCTCTCATACCTATCACTTCTTGATTTCCAACAAATACACGGAATTCCATTGAGGGAGGTATTTCTGTCCATCTTCTAAGCACCAACTGAAAATGAAAGATACACATTTTTAACGAGATGAATGCATCTACCGATATTTGTCAATGCCTATTGTGAAACATGACTTCACAATAACTCCAAATGAAAAAGAAAAAAAAGTAAGAATACAGTCACTTGAGATAAAATCTTGAAAAGAATGAATGTGTTAATGATGAAAATTAAAAAGTAATAACCTGCAGGCTCCATTCACACAAAAATATTATACACAGATTAACTTAAGGCCTAAATCTAGATACTGATAATATGTGATTAATATTCATATTCAGTGATCTGTGACATCAATACTAGTACCCAAAGTGGTGTGTTCATCTCTTTTTTACTTGTGTATTGACAGAGAGAAGAAAAGTAATCTTGATTTACCTTATTGACTCTTTCACTGTTCACACATTGTGTACATTTATGATATCAAAAACACTCACAAACTTTACAATATTTTGTCTCCTTTATCTCTCAACCTTAAACAGTAGAGGAACAGCTAACTTGAATCAAGACAATCAATTTACAGAAATGATTATTAATTCTCAGCTCTATATTATATTAACAAGTATGACAAGTTACCATTATAATTAAAAATCACCTTGTCAGTTTTCCTATAAAACGAATGATATCTTTCCACCTCACTTTGTAAACGTGTAATGTTATTTTCAATGCATGACTACAATACAATGTATGTTTGATTGTTTTTGTTTTTGTTTTCTGTCTACTCACAATTATTTTATTGATTTTTTCTTTTTGTATTAATGTTTATAGTATCCATATACCATGTAAATACCACACATTTCCAGTTAAATGGACAATAAATATGAACATATGAACCTCATTATGAATGGACACCATAAAAATGAAGAAATAGAATTACCTCGTATTGCACTTGTCCAGCTTGTTCAGTTTCATCACATAACGTAAATCTATAAAACATAAAGGATACCACAGTTTGTTTCATAGTAAATTATGTAACATCTCATAATAATGCAGGAGGCGTGATGGCTCAGTGGTCGATCAGTGGTCGATCAGTGGTCTCGTAACTGGGAGGTCACAGGTTCGAGACCAAGTCAATGCACTAGTGCCCTTTGGTAAGGCATTAATCATCATTACCAAGTCCCTCAGAGAGGACTCAAAGCCGTCGGTCCCCTGGTTGCTTATTTACAAGCAAGCATACACATGCTTTCTTAGCAGTGCAGGTAAAACAAACAAACATACAAATAATATAGTTCAAGGCTCTGAAAATTGAAATCGTACAATATATACATTGTTTGTATTTATGTTACAAGTTGTTGCTACACATGCATTTTAAGCAAATTAGAAGATGATTCGGTGCTCATCCCTGCTGAACATAAGGTGCATAAAAATAAGTCGTGTTTATCAAAGGAATGTGTCTTCTACATGCAGAACTAAGGTGGTGCTGTAAGCAATGATGACAGGTAAACATCAAGAGAAGAAAAGCTTTTGAAACAAAATGCAAATTATTTGCATTTGTTGAAAATGTTCAACATTTGATAATGATCAATCTTAGAAATAAATGCAGTTGTTTTTCATTGACATGAATTCAAAACATTTTCATTATATAGATTGTACGATTGATGAAAACAAAAATGAAATCAGTTGGAACATAATCCAACCAAACACAATTCCAACCCCCCCCCCCCCACCCTTCCCCTACCATGTGACACGTCACACACCACCCGACCACACTTTCACACATATACCACACACTGTTCCTAGCCTCCTCAGAATACCCCCAAATTGGAGCGACAGACAAATAGAAATAATCTATTTTAAAAAATGTAACAAAACATTTGAACGAGGCTACAATAGCCACAATAGCCCAGTTTACCCCCCCCCCCCCCCAACACACACACATACACCATACAGAAGTGACAGTGGAGTAAATCCTCTAATTCCTTTAACATGATAAGGCATGGTACATATAATACAATAAATTACACACAACATATATACTTACGGTTCGGTAAGATCATGAGAAATAAAGTTGGAGCTTTTGAGGAGCAGGATTATATCATTGAAAGTGTGGCATTTCAGTGAGTTACCACAGGCAATCCAGGAAGCATCCTGCAAGAAAGACAAACATTTCCATAGTATCATGTATTCCTGGGGGTTGTTTCACAAAGACTAAGAACGACTTTAAGTTGGACTTAACTATGGCAGGCCATTCATGCCACTAGTTCCTCTAACCCTTCCTGACATTGGTTTCTCAAGGGACGTATAAATCGTGGTCACAAATCTACAGAATTTATTGATTTCTACAGTTCATTATTGAAAGAAAAAATGTTATCTAAAGATCATTATTGAGAGACCAATGGTGAGAGCAACCAATGGCATGAATGGCCTTCCATAGTTAAGTCCAACTTAAAGTCGATCTTAGTCTTCGTGAGCACTTCCCTGGTGTGACTATACATGATGATGCCGAATATAGCAGCCACTTTCCCAATTTAACATGCATGTACCGGTACTCTCCATCTGTTTACTTAAAGCCTATCTGCACTAGTTTGGCCAGGAGGGATTAGACCTCCCTGCATGATCACTGACAGGTGGTTATATCTCATCAAATCAGCTCTCAATTAACATAAGAAAAAGAGGATCATGGGGGACCAATGGTCACCGATTAGGCATTCTTTGCTATATAGAGGGCGCAAGTATGTAGCTATAAGTAGCGCAGTGGGGCTTTAAGACGTTAAGTTGCACTCAGTAATGATTATTGAGTAAACAGATCATTGTTTTTTTAAGAATTCATGAATGTTAAAAGGGAAAAATAGCTACGTTTGTTTAACTAGTAGAAGTTTCTACAAGTGCATTAGCCAACATTACAAAGATCTAGTAACTGACAAGGTATAGCATGATCATAAATTGACCTGTAACAGATTTTAGAAAATGGTCACGATATTTGTTGCTAAGATTAAAGATAGAAGTGCATTTTTGTTTTTTACAAAATGTTATTGGTGCTTACATGTCACAGAAATATCACAAGAATACATGACTTACCCTTGGTGCACTCCAGTTCAGCTTTGGGAAAACCTCACCTCCAAGTTGATTTATTGCTCTCTCTACTTTAGCTTGTAGATCGGGAAAGGAAGGACGTACCTATAAAACAAAATTCTAATATTGAAACATTGTTTCTATTTGCTTTGAATACAATTACCCAGGTTTTAATTCTAACAGATAGAATTAGCTTATCGATCAGCACACACAATGCAATACAATGCAAGCACACATCCGTCAGCCATCAATCTTTAAATTGACAATGAGTGAATAACCCATTGTATTTGTATTACCGTATGGTGCTTCCTACCACAGCCAATACATCATGTACATCATGTACAGTGAATGTATCCCTTTTACAAATAAATATAAATTCTTTTATACACAGACAGTATTATAGCTGACAGTATATATATATATAACCCCCAAAAAATACATGAATAAATAAATGAAATCAATTGTATTCAGTAGTTCTCAATCTCCTCTTTCATCATCCTATTCTTTAAAAAAAAATCTACAACTATATATCAACATATCAGATAATTTCTCTTTTAGAAGATAGTTTCTCTTTTGGAAGATAATTGTTCATTTACAAAGTTTTCTTGAACTTTCACTTAACATGCATCAACTTACCTTGGATGAGCCCACATCCTGGATATTCTGTTCTGCTATCTCATCTTTACTACAAAGAGACAAAAAAAATGAAAGATTTTTCTTAAATTTTTTTTTTTTTAAGGGCCGCCTTTGGGGTTGGAAAATCAAAACAAAACAACAAACAATCTTGAAAGTTTGCAAATTTGAAAACATGCAATAAGAAAATCAGCTCGCATCCCCCCCCCCCCCTTCAAATCAGAAGCAATATGTCCCTGATATTGATATTGACAGCCTCTAGGAAATAGCATTTATATCCTGCAAAATGTCAAAAGCATTTATAAATAAATATTCTCTATCTTAAAAGTTACAGATCGAAAATATAGTAGAACTCCATATAAACATATTTCCTGCCGGGTTTTTCTCTTTCTTGTCTTGTTTTGTTTAGACAGTTTTGTATTATTGCATTATTTTACGAAATCTATGAAAGAAAAGAATGAAAAAATACAAGGAAAGAAATTATCAGTATTAGGTTTGGTAAATAAAGTTTGAAATTTTGGTACATATATTCATATATAGAAATACATGTAGGTCCACAAACATCTTGTCTTTTACAGATCTACATGTAGAACCTATATACAACACTAATTTGCTTCCATATATCATAAGGGCAAACATTTGAAAGCAACCCATACGCGTGTCTAAAATTTAGATTATCAAATGCAACAATCCAATCTGAATGTTTACATCTGAAACTGATGATCTTCTTTATCTCACTCAAATTCCTGTTTTCACATACCTCAGAGGAAGATAGATCCCATCTTCCAGTAAATAGTTGACAAAGGATTGTGGCAGCTTGATAACTTCACTGTTGAGATGAACGATATGAAAATATAAGACATCACATGTTGAAAGGCTTCAACCTTTAATGTCTTTTATAACTCGTAGGAGTTAAACCCCCTAAACCGCCTAGATACGCCCCTGCAACATCTTTGGTCTTGTTCTTCTTCTCGATATTGATTTACTGGTCGAGGTACATAATTTGCTGGTCTTTTAGAATCACCAGATTTCAGAGGATTCACACTTTTCACAACGAAAAACTTCTGCATATTTCAGTATTTGCGTGATCGTCTCCAGCTCCAGCAGATATTGGGAGTCAGCGTGCAAATATGTACCGGTGCAGTATAGCCACTGCTGACGGCCGCACAATATAGTGCGAGCTTCCGTTTTTTTGTATCGGTAAATAACGGTAATACTCAAAGAGATGGGAGAGATAGCGCCATCCAAGTTCCATTTCATTGGTTTAAGGTTTGAAAATTGATACTCAATATTGTGTTAAAGTTATATAAAAAAAGATAATCTTTATTTTAAAATTACACGGGGGCGGTTTTTAATTTTGCAATCGCCCCCGTGAGCAAGTACCCGACGGAGGCGAATCACCCACCGCCCCCGTGTATTTTGAGCGTTGTTACTGGCACATCATCAGGCACGATCATCAAAATGTAATTTTCAACAGAAGGGCGACACATTTTATAGCATGTAAATCTGTAGAATTGTTATTGTGTAAGTAAGCCTGAATAAGAAAAAGGGCTCTTCAAATACAAGGTACATGTACATGTACAACAACATCATGCGATCTGCGACTCCATACCGATTCGCATTCGTATTAGTTTCACACATACACCTACCTCTCAATCGTATGTTCCACGAAGTTAGCGTACCATGAAGAAAAACTACAGTTCAAAATATGCTGTCGATTCATTGTTGATATTTAGCAAGATAATTTCAAGAACATAGATGAACACTGTCACATAAACTTTAAGAGCTTGTGCATTTGTGTCAGGTTTTCGACCACTGACTGATTGTTCCACTTAAGAACAGGCGGTTTCAAGAGCGACAGAAAATGTTATGGTCATGCTGATGCTGCGAATGATGCAATATCGTCTGCTTCGACTGTCTATACGTACATACGACCGAACCGGCAACCCACAACATTACGCAATATACAGCCTCTATGACTATGGGGAGCCGGGGGATTCTACTGATGTGGTAAAATAGATATTTATAATCAAATTGTTGTTGTTATTTTGTTGTTGATGATGATGCTGATGATGATGTTTCTTTTTGTTATTCATAGTAGGTTGACAGGTTGGGAGGGGCAATTCGAAAGGGAGGGGGGGGGGAGGTATATATAAACCCGGTCATATATGCATCATGCAGATATCTCTCACAACGTTGAATCTTAATACACCAGTTTACAGTTGTGTGCGCCATTTTAAACAAGGCCAATGACCTAGAGGTCATGTATTTATGCGTAAATTAAGATTGCGCCCATGCAAATTATGATGATATCACTGCCTGCGCGCTGCGTTGTGCGCGCATATCATCATTTGCATGGGTGCAATCTTAATTTACGCATAAATACCAGAGGTCAGAGGTTATTGGCCCCAATTTTGGGGCCAATAACCTCTGACCTCTGTCTGCTCATGCGCACTGATACAACTGTAAACTGGTGTATTAATTAGTATGACCTTATGAGACGTCGGGCTAACTCGGCCCACGGGACTACTCGGCCCAGCTGGAAAAAATGGGCCGAGATGTCCCGACCTGATTAATCGATCGAGAGATACCAATGTGTATATGTTTGTGCTCTTTGTGACTTAATAATGCCCTTTCCAACCAAAATCTTTAATGGAATTGTGTTAAATGATACCAATGCAGACAATTTATAACTTATCTTTAGGTAAAATGACAAAAGGGCATTATTAAGTCACAAAGAGCACAAACATATACACATTGGTATCTCTCGATCGATTAATCAGGTCGGGACATCTCGGCCCAGTTTTTCCAGCTGGGCCGAGTAGTCCCGTGGGCCGAGTTAGCCCGGATTATGAGACGTCGGGCTAACTCGGCCCACGGGACTACTCGGCCCAGCTGGAAAAAATGGGCCGAGATGTCCCGACCTGATTAATCGATCGAGAGATACCAATGTGTATATGTTTGTGCTCTTTGTGACTTAATAATGCCCTTTCCAACCAAAATCTTTAATGGAATTGTGTTAAATGATACCAATGCAGACAATTTATAACTTATCTTTAGGTAAAATGACAAAAAAATGACATTTCGGACAATTTACTCACAGCTCGCAATCCGCATTGCCGCACGTACATTAAATGTGCGTTGTATCTACTCGGACCACTGAAATTCGAGCAGTGTTTTTGTCGGTAAATCACTGCAAAAATATCATTTTTATCTCGTATGAAGGTCTATTTTTTATTCCTGACACAGATTTCATTATTGAGAAGTCGAATATAGTACATTTTAGACGAGATGGTTGATGTTTGTTCACATTCTTTCGTCCTGGCCGTAAATTAGCAGACTACTGCCTAGTGCTACCGCAGCAGCTCAGCTCAGTGTGCAGCTAGCCGTACAGCGCCGCCGGCAGGGTCGGCGGGGGAATTCACTGACTCGGCGCCCGCACCGGGCCGCTGCACTGCATTGCATGATTGTACTGCCCAATTTGATCGAGTGATGTGAGTATAACTAATCAAACTAGATCTAACTCTACTGTATTATCATTATTCATTCCGAGTAGAATATCCAATTTGATTTATTGAGTAAACTAGACATAGATCTATATCTACTGTAGCTAGGCCTACATCATTATCATATACTAGATTAGTCATTCAGAGTAGAATATCCGATTAATGAAGGAATGGAATAATCAGATAATCATATTTTACTCCTAAAAGTTAAAGACTTAATTGATAAATAGCTAGATCTAACGTAAGGGCCTAGCCTAATACTGTAAGAGAAGTGAGCTGAAGAATCGCCTTCTTTTATTTTGGAGGGGCAGGCGCGTAGCCAGGGGGGCAGTGGGGGCGGTCGCCCCCCCCCCCCAAAAAAAAAGGAAAAAGGAAGAGGACGTAGGAAGAAAAAGGATTAAGAGTCGAGAACGGTACAACGAAACGTCTTCTTTCTTTAATTATTTAATGAAACATCAAAGCTTCCGCGCTTTGCGCGAGAAGGGGGGACAGAACTGAATTCAGGTAAGGATAAAGAGTCGAGAACGGTACAACGAATTGTCTTCTTTCTCTTATAATTTATAAAACGTCAATGCTTCCACGCTTCGCGCGGGAGCGGGACACTCAATTCAGACAAGGATCTAGAGTCGAGAACGGTAAAACGAATCGTCTTCTTTCTCTAATTATTTAATGAAACATCAAAGCTTCTGCGCTTTGGGGGGGAAGGGGGATGGAACCGAATTCAGATAAGGATTAGGAGTCGAGAACGGTACAAGGAATCGTCTTCTTTCTTTGATGAGAGGGATGGAGACGAGAGGGATTGGTGAGGGATGGAGATGATGAGAGGGAAGGAGACAATGTTGATGATGTAAGGGATGAAGACGCTGTTGATGAGAGGGATTGGTGAGGGATGGAGATGATGAGAGGGATGGAGACAATGTGAGAGATGGAGGTGATGAGAGGGATTGGTGAGGGATGGAGATGATGAGAGGGATTGGTGAGGGATGGAGATGATGAGAGGGATAGAGACAACGGGAGGGATGGAGACAATGAGAGGGATGGAGATGATGAGAGGGATGGAGACAATGGGAGGGATGGAGATGATGAGAGAGATGGAGACGATGAGAGGGATTGGTGAGGGATGAAGATGAGAGGGATGGAGACAACGGGAGGGATGGAGACAATGAGAGGGATGGAGATGATGGAGACAATGAGAGGGATTGGTGAGGGATGGAGATGATGAGAGGGATGGAGGCAACGGGAGGGATGGAGACAATGAGAGGGATGGAGATGATGAGAGGGATGGAGACAACGGGAGGGATGGAGACAATGAGAGGGATGGAGATGATGAGAGGGATGGAGACGATGAGAGGGATTGGTGAGGGATGGAGATGGTGAGAGGGATGGAGACGATGAGAGGGATGAAGATGATGTGAGGGATGAAGATGATGAGAGGGATGGAGATGGTGAGAGGGATAGAGATGAGAGGGATGGAGATGATGAGAGGGATGGAGATGATGGGAGGGATGGAGATGATGAGAGGGATGGAGATGATGAGAGGGATGGAGATGATGAGAGGGATGGAGAGGATGAGAGGGATGGAGACAATGGGAGGGATGGAGATGATAAGAGGGATGGAGATGATGAGAGGGAAGGAGACAATAAGAGGGATGGAGATTGTCTCCATCCCTCTCATCATCTTTATCCCTCACATTGTCTCCATCCCTTTCATTATCAATATCGTCTCCATTCCTCTCATCATCTCCATCCCTCACCAATCCCTCTCATCATCTCCATCCCTTACATCATCAACATTGTCTCCATTATGTACTATGCCACGTTGTGGAAATGCAATTTTATTTTTTTAATTCATTATTTATTTATAGTATGTACATATTTACAGGTACACAAGATCGGATATAAATCTGTTAACCCCCAGCCCCCCCCCCAAAAAAAAAAAAAATTGTAACATGCAGATGACACGCCACACCATTCCTTGTGTTGTGGTATTGGTACGTATTATTTCATATGCAATTTACAAGGCAAAAAAAAATCTAAATAAATAAAGTTAAGACAATTAAATAAAAATGAGGACATGTTTGAAAAACACACATAATAGCAATAAACATTATTTGTTTACGACTCCAAGATACAAATTCCAACAATATGACGTCAAGCTGACTCAAAATAACAAATGATAAGCAGGTGTAATCGTGTATTAATTTTATGCCACGTTGTAATGCAATTTTGTTTTTGTATTTATTATTTATTTATAGTATACATATTTATACAGGTACACAAGATCAGATATAAATCTGTTAACCCCCAGCCCCCCCCCCAAAAAAAAATCAAAAAAATTGTAACATGCAGAGACCAGTACAGATGACACGCCACACCATTCCTTGTGTTGTGGTATTGGTACGTATTATTTCATATATGCAAGTTACAAGGCAAAAAAAAACCTAAATAAATAAACAAAGTTAAAACAATTAAATAAAATGGAGGACATGTTTGAAAAACACACATAATAACAATAAACATTATTTGTTTACGATTCCCAGATACAAATTCCAACAATATGACGTCAAGCAGACTCATAATAACAAATGATAAGCAGGTGTAATCGTGCATTAATTTTATGCCACGTTGTAATGCAAATTTGTTTTTTTAATTTATTATTTATTTATAGTATACATATTTATACAGGTACACAATATATCAGATATAAATCTGTTAACCCCCAGCCCCCCCCCCAAAAAAAAAATATAAAAATTGATTTTGCTCATAGATCTTTGCCTCTGTTGCTGATTACATACCCGGCCGAGATGGATGGGAGGTTGGGGGGGGGGGGGGGCAGCTGCCTTTTAGAAATTTGAGGAACGGTTAAATTAATGACCAGTTGACCAAAGGTCCAGGAGAAGGCTTACAAGAATTAAGATCCCCCTGCCCAGGGGCGGCCGAGCGACTTCCAAAGGGGGGGGGGGGGGCACCAACAAAAAAGGGCACTTTCTGGAGAGAAAAAAGGGCACCTACAGTGGGAAATCTCAAAGCGAAAATATACAATTTTTTAGACATTGGTATATACCCCTACATTGTGATTACATTATCAGGGATGATTTCAATATTTGTTTCTCTTCATACATCATACAAGATATCGCTTAAGCATCATACTTTACAGTTGGGTGGGATGTCTGAATATGCATTTACTAGCGAGCGTGAAAAATTTCAAAGATCTATGAGGTCGCAGTGCGAAAAATTACATCTTATAAAGAGGAAAAAAGCCAATCGTGATGGGGTTATAAGCACATTCTCATAACGGAAGACTGAAAAGACCTTTGATAAGTAACATAATTATATCATCTTTAAATGCGAGCGAGCACAGCGAGCGAACTTTGGGGGAAATTGCTCTTAGTCGCCTTAAATAAGGGGCACGTTTAATGATTA